CAAGGGTCCCATCCCATTTTCCCTTTCCAAGCTCGTAGTAGATTTAGGGTTAGATTGGCGCCATCTCGTGTCTGAGCTTCGTGCTGGAGATCTCGAGCGGCTTCCAACTGACGGATTCCACCCCTTTTGCTCACTATTCATGGAGGAGGGTGGAGGTTGGTCGATCCGATGATAGCTCCATGAATAAGCTCGTGGGCCAATTGGATCTGACAAGAGTGGAGTAGCTCCGAGGATCCCTCCGAGGATCCATGTTCGCATCCCTGATATGTGGAGGGTTCATGTCCCTCCGGGGATCCATATATTTCTGTGGCTGATTTCTCACAACAAACTTCTCACTAGAGACAATTTGAGTAAAAGACAAAATGTTGAAGACAAATTCTGTTTGTTTTGCTGTGAGATGGAGTCCGTCGACCATGCTTTTTTTTGAGTGTGTGGTGGCCCAGGAGATTTGGAAAATTGTTTACAGTTTAACTGGTAGGAATGGGCAAGCCTCATATGAGGCGGTTGCTGTTATGTGGGCTCACGATGATCGTAACGAGGCCAATAATCTGATCAATGCTTCCACTCTCTAGGCTATCTGGAAGTGCAGAAACGATCTGTGTTTTAATGGTAAATCTTGGCTTGGTCTACAGGTTATCTTGAGGAAGATTGCAAGCTTTTGTCATCAGTGGCAGATCCTGTGTGTGGGAAGCACAAGACAGCAACTGGTGACGAGCGTTGTGTCCTTCTGGAATGCTGCAAGAAATCCTCCGCCGTTACTCTAGCCAGAGCCAGGCTGATAAAACTAAAGCTGTGGGCTAAGTACAAGATGAAGCTAGCGCGCGGAGGTGGAAAGGAAGACGACTTGGCGCTGGAGCTGCTATTGCAGGTCGTTTATGTTGAGTTTCCCAGGGTGTGGCGCGCGTATGTGGCTGTCGTAGGGGTAAACATGCCCTCTATGTTCGGTCTGTTGGGTTCAGTTATCTGTCGTTTGTGTGTCTCTCCTTTAGGATTGTGCTGGGGTTGATACTTTTATCCTTCCTCGCATGTTGTAATAATTGATACTATTGGTTCCGTTTTCTATGGAAATGGAACCGGGGCGTAGGCCCTTTCCCCCCTAAAAAAAGAGAGTGGAGTAGCTTTTCTCCATGTGTTCTTTGTCGTCATGGTGGCGGACGAGAAGACAATGGTTTCCGACGTCGGATCCGGAGCACCTACGATGCTCTGTCTTCCGCATATCTCATTGGTGTTCTGTAGCGGCCTTAGTTGCTCCACCACTGACTATCTTTTCTTCCCGGTCATGGTGCTGAAAGGAAGGCGGGTTTCGACTTTGTCCCAATGCCCGTTTCTTCTCTGTCGAGGTGACGATGAAGCGACGACGAGGCCCCCTTCCCAAGTGGTTTTTGGTCCCGGTGAGGGGGATTCTTGGCCTGGCGGTGAAGCTCGGAGACGGTGGATCATGGATCACATTGCAATCATTCTCTCGTGTCCAGGGTTTTATGTAAAGTAGTTCGGCTGAGTTGTAATTTTTTTCATTTTTTAGGTTCCTTTCGCAGATGTATTGCAAATGTTTAATGAAGCTGTTCTAAAAAGAGGAAACTCTAAAGATTTGTTTATTTTTTATGCAAATTTAAATACCAAATTCCATTCCAAACCAGTCGAGAAATTTCTCGTAAATGAAGTTAAATATTTAGAATCCAAAATATATATTTTGGCGGACATTTTTCTATCTGTTCGAACCGGATGGAGTACTAGCTCTCCTCTCCTTCTAAGTTCTAACTCAAATTAATTCAAATAAAAACAATATGATCATGTAACATCGCAAAATCAATCTTACTATTTAATTATTTTTATAGAAAATGTTAGGCACATGAAAATAGCCTGAGTTAGCATGCGGTGCTCATATCTAGTCCTGTAAACGAAAGAAAGACAGAGGGGTGTTTTCAAAAAGTTGCACAGGACACCTGGCCACCTGGGTGGGGTGGGGTGGGTGGTGGCGTTGGGACGTTTTCAGAAAAGTAGAGGGACGTTTTAAGAAAAACGCAGAGGGGTTTGGGCAGGGCCGGGTGGGGTGGGGTGGGGTGGGGTGGGGTGGTGGCGTTGGGGCTAGGTGGAGTCCGGTGTGACGTGGTGGTGAGGCCGCCTCCTCTGCATATTTCCCCCCTCCTGTTTTCCATCCAAAACAAACAAATTCTGTCTGCTCGCTCCCCTCAAATCCCCAGCCCGCCTCTGTCCTGTCAACCTCGCCGGCACCGTGGTCGATCGATGGGCACCTCCGTCGACGTCGTCCCCGATTGGGTGGGCGACTTGGGCGAGTCCGTCGGCCCCGTCGACTACGGCTGCGTGCGCCGATGCCGTCACCGCCGACTCGCCACCTACCTCTGGCTCCACGGCTTCCGCGACGCCCTGCGAGGGTACGTGCATCCCCACCCCCTCCGTCCTCCTGAACGAACTGCTTCGCTCGCTCACCGGCGGCCGCCATTGCCCAATCAATCAATCACTCGCAGGCTGCTCAACGAGACGGACGCGTACATGAGCGTCATCCACCTGTCGCGGCTGGTACAGCAGGGGCTGTGGGACGCCGCCATCGCCTACGTCTCCCGCTTCCTGCGCCCGACCTCGCACCCGCAAAGCAACGAGGCCCAGGTGCTCCTCCACTTCCTCATGCAACACGCGGCCTTCGCCAGCATGGTCGCCGGCAAGCCCGACCGTAACCTCAGCTACTTCAACAACAAGTACAACACACGGTACCTCAAGCACGACGACTCCGTCTCCTTCGACTGCCTCACGATCCGCTCCATCGTCCTCTCCATTCTCCATTCGGAGCAAGTCAGGTAGCACTAGCTAGACGATCACATCTTCAGTTCATGTCTGCCCGTCTGTCGATTCCTGCAATTTTCAAGCCATCTTCAGTTCCTATCCAAAATTTTCATCTTTACATCTCAACTTTAATGTACTATACTGTTACATATATATGTGCAAGCAGATCCTCGCTGGACTGGGAGCGCGTTCGTTGCAAGGCGTCTCAAATCGTCCAACACTTGGCTTATAAGGCTCCAGAGTTGAAAAACGTGGCCCTATTGCCGGGCGGTCCGATGATGCCCCACGATGTGCTTCCCATCGGATTCAGGTGATTCCGGATCCATACTCTATCAGTTTGGTCGCCCATGTTCACTTGATGCATTCCATTCTTGGAAATGTGTAAAACTTGGCTGTCGATTTCACTGTAACTCACTTTGATTGCCCTGCAATCTTTTTTTTTGCTTGGCCTAGGTACCGTCGGAGGCGTCATGCGAAGGAACAAGACCTGCCAGGACCTAAAACACTGGCCAAGATCTACCTTAGGACCAAAAAGGGGTAAAAATATGACCTTGAAACATGGCAAATTCAAGGCGTCCCTCGATTCTGTTCTTGCTAGCTCTTTCTTGACCAACTCAGCACATGTTCCATGTTTTGCAGGCTGCCTTGGTCGACTCGCAGACATGAATTAAACAGTGGTACAATGCCCTATTTACAAGCATCTTATGATTAAGCAATATACTGTACTTCCTTGTAGATTCTATGTCTGTGATGCTAAAAGCCATCGTTACTGTTTTTGGTGGCAGGATTGACGGACAAGACAAGGAAGTGGCTCGTAGATCTTATTGGTAAAACTAGCCTCTGCTCTTGTGTCCTTCTCTTGTTTACTTTGAATTTTACGTATCTAGACCTGTGTTCGTTTTACTGTCAACCCAGATATATTTGGCACTTGGCAGCAAGCTATGAGGCACTTTGATTTTACTGGTTCACTATTTGGAAAAACCTCTTGGAATGCATGTATATGCATATAAACTGATCAACTTGTGTTTTCTTCAGATGAAAGCTTGCAAGCTGGTCTGGAACTTCAATCAAGTGGGAAGGAAGGTAACCTTCTCTTAGTCCAGTCATTTGTCATTGTATCCACTGGTTATGTGGGCTCCTTACTAGCTGTTCTCATTGGTTGAATCCTTTTGACACACATCTGCATAATATCTTTGACCAATCTGAACAGTTTATTCCCCTTCCAATTTTAGAATCACACTTCACATTATATTTTGGAGACAATAGCCCTGTTGATTAATTATATGTCAAACTAGATTGAACTAATTCTTGTTGCGCTAATGTGTTTTTTTTACTACTATGCCGCATTTCCATATTCTTCCAAATTGCTCTGTGATGTTTACACTTTGGTTATAACTGTGATGTGGCCTATGTGGCCATTATCTATGATCCGTTGCAGCACATATCTTTGAAAGATGCACGGTAGAAACATGTTCCCCTTTTGCGTTTGCATTCTTCCATTCTATCTTTAGTTGTTTTCCATGTGTTTGCTTTTGTGAATGGTAAATTCAGAACCATTGTCCCTGTCAGGCTTGATGATGTTATTTTTTTGCAGTTTAATACTTTATTAGTGCTTGGCTGCTTACTACCAGTTCTAACTACTGAAAGCATTGCAGGTGCTCCTGGTGCTCCAGTCTCTAACGCCATGTCTGGTACCGCAGCACATCTTACTAAAAATTCTGGGACCTCATCATTGACAAATGCAGGTAATTTTGTTGACCACCCTCAACCATTCTCAAACCTCCATTTGCGTTGCAACTTATCTCTGAAATTGTTTGTTTCTAGCAATCGCCAAATGTACGTGTGAAGGGGCTATGTATCATTGTTGTGCCGTGGTTTAGATGTCTCAAAATAATCATTGATATGCCACTTAGGATCTAATTTTTTATAATAGTACTATTTATGGCTTCCTCTGAGAAGTATATCAATTATAAATAATAACCAAAGTTCCTTTGAAAACATACTAGCCAAAGTTTTAGTTGAATCATAGAGGAAGTTGATTCGGCTAGCCTTGAATACCTTGTAGTGCTAAGTTCTGTTCAACCCTTACAGTTTGGTTCGTATTTGCATTGATTGCCCTTATTTGTTATACGGGCCTATCTCTAAAAGATCTGCAGTACCGTTTGAACATTTTGCCCTAGAGTTTTTCATTCTATCATTCTTTTGTTGTTTACTTGATGTTGTTCTTTGCATTTCGTCAGCGCCTTGCTATCTGCTGTCATTTCTAACTGCCGGATCTGTTGCAGCTGCTCCTGTTGCTCCAGTTTCGGGGAGTATGCTCGGTACCTTGACAACATGTGCTGAAGTATCTGGTATCACATCGGTGACTAATCCAGGTAAATAAGTTTACCACCTGTTTTCTGCACATGAAAAACTTCCGTAGTTAATTCCTGAAGTATTAATTGTTAGAGGACGTCAACAATCAAGCTTTGATAGTCCGCATATCACCGGTACTTGGTTACCTGCTAGCGTTTCTAACTGCTGAACTTGTTGCAGGTGCTCCTGCTACTTCAGTCCCGCAGGCAGTGAAGTTGACAGACAGTGCTCAGAACACTGGAATCGCATCAGTGACAAATGCAGGTAAATTAGTTGAACACCGCCAGTTGTTTTTAACAGGACGAAACTCCATTTGCTCAGTTGACCCCTGATATTGTTATCAGAGAACAACAAATATAGTCAAGTGCCTGCTTGCGTTGTTAATATAATACGCGATGTCCGTATTTCGATTTCATTTGTTCAGTTATATAGAGGTGGCCTTGCTACCTTACCTGTCCTTTTGGCACTTGTTCGCTGTGGAAATTAGCTTCTGAATATTGTGGAAGATATGCCTTTTCTGAGTCTGCATTTGTTATTTACTTCTTTGTTCCTTCTTTTAGCATATGGTATATCCAGGATAGTTTCAGGACTACATTTGCATTGTGGAGGGTAACTGTTCATGTTTCCACTGAATAACATACTGCAAGTGTTCACTCTTACATAAAAGTGTTCCTAAAAACCCTTGTTTCTCATGACAAACTAATGAAAGTCGGACTCTTTCTTTGAATCTTCCACAAGCCGCTGCCATCACTTTTTGTCATTGAAATGATCATTGTTAAGAAAGCATCGGTCATACATAATATTTGAGTCAAGTTCCTTGAAAATATTGTCTATTGGGCACACACAAGTAACATTTGAGTCCAGAAGGTTCCGGTCTTGGAAGAATTGGTGGACGGAAGCATGCCTTAAGATACTTGGTAGGTTGAAATAGGGGTTATTCCCATGTTAAACCAGCATCAAACATGAACACAAGTTATGGCGATTTCTTAAGATGCTTGGCGCAAGTTATACTGCCCAACTTAGGATGCTTGTGAATGAAATGGCTAAACTTTATTTATTTTTCTGATGAATATCCAACTAATTAAGCTTGGCAGTTTATATATGTTGTGCTGGGTGCACTTGGTAAAGAGGAAGGAAGGAGGCATTGCTTTTTTTACGTGGAGTTTATGTATGAATCATGCATGGTCCTGTACTAAGAAGAGGTGGTGTACTTAATTGATGATGTGCAGGCACCTGAAACTTGGGGAGGGTCGGTACTCACAGCCAGCAGGGCATGCATGAAGCTAGTCCAGTCGATGGGATTGGTGGTGTTTCCTTGTGGGCTTGCTGGTTGAAGACACAAGATAGAGACTTTAACTTGATGTTGTTACTGATGCATGGTTTGGGTTCATGTAATGGCCACCGATTTGCTTATAGACAGTGATGAGTTATGGTCAAATATCAGCAGCTAATAAATGCATGTGTGTTAGAGCAACTCCAGCCGCGCCCCCAACAGGACCCCCAGGCAACTTTTTACGCGCCGACGCCGAAACAACGCCCCAGTCGTACCCCCAAAACGCCGAAATCCGCCGGCTCGGCCCGTTTTTGGGCCTGGCGGTCGCAGGCCGAACCCGGCGCACTGGGGGGCGCTCGGGGGCTCCGGCGCAAGGGAAAAACACACCTGGGCCACACTGTCAGGCGAAAAGTCAAGCCAATTGTCCAGATTCGCCTCCCACCCCCGTGCGCTCGGCCACCACCCTGCTGATCCCGGCACCGCCCATCGCCCACCACAGCTAGATAGGCCATTCCCCGCCGGAAAAGAGAAGAGGTTTTGCCGCAGCAGCCTCTCCACCACCGTCCGGGCGATTTTTTTGGCGTTTCGGCTGCGCAGGGCGTGTACCGGTGGGTGTGCGCCACTACGCCCGAATGGTGTTCGGCGATTTGCCTGCTCGGCAATGGACTCGGACGACGAGGAGGCGCTCGCCACGCTGCTGGAGGAGGAAGCCGATGCCGACGTCCAGGAAGAGGAACATCTCATGGTCCTCGCCGCCCTCGCCGACCTGCTCGCGAGCAATGAAAAGCCGCGGCGAGGTGGCTCGACGCCGGGGCAGATGAAAGCAAAGAGCCGGCATCGTCTGGAAGGCTACTGCATGCTCTACTCCAACTACTTCGCTGGCGCTCCACTTCACGGCGACAAAGTATTTCGGCGTCGTTATCGGATGGGCCAAAAGCTTTTCCTCAGGATTGTAAATTCCATCCGAGAGTTCGGCATTCAAGTGCAAGAAGGATTGCACCGGCAAACTTGGATTCACCTCAATCCAGAAGTGCATGATAGCGATGAGGATGCTTGCATATGGAGCTCCCGGTGATTCACTCGCCGACTATGGGCACATGCATGGCCGAGTCCACCACCATTGAGTGTTTCTACAAGTTCTGCAAGGCAATGGTGGCAGTGTTTGGACCGTAATACTTGCGAACACCCAATGCAGAAGACACTGCTCGGATCCTAGCACAGATGCAGCAAGAGGATTTCCTGGATGCTTGGAAACATCGACTGCATACATTGGAAATGGAAGAACTACCCATTTGCTTGACAGGGGATGTACAAAGGCGCCAAAGGCAGTTGCAGTGTGGTACTTGAGGCGGTGGCCACATAGGACCTTTGGATTTGGCACTCCTTCTTTGGTATGCCAGGAACTCACAATGACATCAACGTGCTGCAGTGCTCCCCTGTCTTTGCCAAGCTTGTTGAAGGTCATTCTCCTCCCATGAACTTCGAGGTCAATGGGCGACACTACAATAAGGGGTACTACCTAGCTGATGGCATCTATCCGAGATGGTCGACATTTGTGAAGACTATCTCAAACGCTGTGCCAGGAGGCAAGAAGTCCCACTTTGCCAAGGTTCAGGAGGCTTGCAGGAAGGATGTCGAGTGGGCATTTGGTGTGCTCTAATCTTGATTTGCTGGTCCGGTACCCTGCTCAGACCTGGTCGAAAGATCAAATGTGAGAGATCATGACTTGCTGTGTCATCTTGCACAATATGATCATTGAGAGCGAGCAGGAAGAGCCAGTGTTTGACACTGAACCATACTACAGGCAGGGTCCTCTTGCCCAAGTTGATCACTAGCTACCGGCAACCTGGACTGCCTACCTCAATTTGTGTCAGGAGATCTGAGACCCACAGGTGCATCAACAACTGCAGCATGATCTGGTGGAGCACCTATGGAGGATCAAGGGCGATGCCTAGCTCGACGTGTGATGAAATATGATTTTTTATTTCTTGAACTATATAATTTGTATTGAACTATTTGTTGAACTATTTGATTTCTATTGATTTTCTGTGATGAACTATGTGATAACAAATTATTTATGTTGAGAATTCACGCCGAACCACGCCGAATATGGGCCGATTCGCGCCGACATTGAGCCATTTTTCGCCAATAGTGGGCCGAAAAATGGGCCGACATCGGCGCCTGGGGGCGACCTGGGGGTGATGGGTGGGTGCCCAACCGCCCCCAGAGTCGATTATACCGCCGGCTCGCCCCCAAGCGGCGATTTTCATGCCTCCTAGGGGACCAACAGCTGGAGATGCTCTTATGAAGTACTCCCTCCGTCCCAAAGTTTTGTCTTAAATTTGTCTAGATACGGATGTATCTAATACTAAAACGTGATTAGATACATCCGTATCTAGACAAATCTAAGACAAGAATTTTGGGACGGAGGGAGTATAATTTGGTGGTGATGCTA